TTTGCTTATTCTAGATATTTCATTTAAATCAAATGATACAGTGTGTTATTTTGTGATTGGCTTCTTTCCCTTTGCACAGTGTTTTCAAGGAGCATCCATGTTGTCACGTTTCAGAACTTTGCTCCTTTTTGTGGCTGAGTAATATTCCCTATCACAGACATGCCATAGTTTATTCACCAGTTCATCCGTTGGTGAACACTTGGCTTGTTTCTCCTTTTTGGCTATTAATAATGCTGTTTTGAGCATTTATGTACAAATTATTGGGTGGACATATGTTCTTACTTTTCTTGGGTATATACCTAGGATTAGAATATAGTAACTCCATGTCCCCCCCACCTTGGGGGGGTTAGGAATCAGACCAGGCCTCACACATGCCAGAAAGCATTGTATCACTGAGCTGCACCCCCAGACAAAGTTCATTTCACCAAGGAACTTTTTTTTAATTGAACTGAGGGATGAACCAGGGGCCTTGTACAGCCTAAGCTCATGCTCTAGCCCTGAGCTTCACCCTGTCTATTTAAACTTTTGAGGAACTGCCAAATCATCTTCCAGGAGCAGCACCATTTTATGCTCCTTCTAGAAGTGTGTGAAGTTTCCAATTTTTTCACATTCTCTCCAATGCTGTTACTATCCAGCTTTTGATTATGGTAATCTTAGTGGGCATGAAGCGTCATCTCCTGTTCTGATTTGCATTTCTCTGTTGGCACATAATCAAGAGCATCCTTTCGTGTGTCTGTGGACGATTTGAGTATCCCCTTTGGAAAAGTGTCTAGCCAGATCTGTTGCTCACATTTAAATTCCTATTTTTTTAATTAAGTTGTCAGACTTTCCTAGATATTCTAGATTCAAGTCATGTATCAGTTACATAATTTGCAACTATTTTTGCTCATCCTGTGAGTGGGCTTTTCTTGTTTTGTTTTTTTTGGTACCGGGGATCGAACTCGGGTCCTTGAGATTGCGAGGCAGGCAGTGGAACCACTGAGCGAAATCCCTGGCCCAGAGTGGGCTTTTCATTTTTTTTAATCTACATCTTTGGAAGAACAAATAATAAAGTTAATTTTATCTCTTTTTTCTTTTGTCCTGTTTTTGGTATTATGTCTAAGAAGGTTTTGCCTAACTCGTACTATTGTATTTTCTCCTTTAACTTTTATATTTTGTCTTACATCTCAGTCTTTGATACATTTTAACTTTTGTTGATGATAGGCAGCAACTTCATTCTTTTACTCTTTCTTTCTTTCTTTCTTTCTTTCTTTCTTTCTTTCGGTACTGGGGCTGGAACTCAGGACCTTGCGCTTGCGAGACAGGCACAGGCACCACTGAGCTAAATCCTCAGCATGTTATTTCATTCTTTAACAGTTATTTCAGCACCATTTGTTGGAAAGACTATGCCATACCTCACTGAATATTTCTGGCACCTGTGCTGAAAATCAATTAACCATAGAAAGTTTATTTCCAGGCTCTCTTCTATCCCATTAATGTATATGCCTATTCTAGTGCCAGTACAATACTGTAGCTTAATTGAGGTAGTTTTGTAGTAACTTTTGAAATTGGAAAGTATGCGTCTTCCAACTTCGTTCTCTTCAAAATTATCTTGGCTATTCTGGCTCCCTTGAATTTCTGTTTGAATTTTAATGTACGCTTGTCAATTTTTGCAAAAATATCAGCTATAATTTTGGTGAAGATTATGCTGAATCTATAGATAAATTTGGGTATTACTACCATCTTTATAATACCAAGTCTTTTGGTCTTGGAAGTTAGGATGCCTTTCCATTTATTTAAGCTTTAATTTCTTTCAAATATGTTGTTTAAGAATCAGAATATGTCTTGAATTTCTCTTTGTAAGTCCATTCCTAAGTATTTCATTTTCTGATGCTGTTTTTTAAAATCACATTAGTTTTTAAGTCAATTTTGACCTCTCTGAAATCAAAATATATCTTACAATCATGGGTATTTTATTTGGTTTTTTTGGTAGCAGGGATCAAACTGGGGTCCTTGCGCGTGCGAAGCAGGCAGCAAAATCTAAATCCCCAGCCCCAATCATGAGTATTTTAGCATGATGTCATAAATCACTTGGCATTTCTTCCTGTATCTTAGTGGACATAAATATTACTTACAACCAGCGGTTTCTTAGATTCAGCACAATACGGTATTAAATGTAAAATGTCTGTGAAGCATCAAAGTGCAGACAAGCAGTAGGCATTTAGCTATGTGAATACAGAAATCAGAACAGAGGTCAGAACTAGAGACAGAAATGTGGGATCATCTGCAGTCGCTATGTAAAGCCATAGCAATAAATGAGATTGTTGCTAAGCAAAGAGTATAGAGACAAGAGGATTTGGGTTGCAGCCCCAAGAAATCCCAATGAGTACAATTTGAGTAAAAGAGGAAAAGTCAGCAAAGGAAAGCATTTTTTAAAATTTATTATTGACAGTATTGATCTTATTCATCACTAGTTCTACAGGGACTGCATCTTGTCTCTTTTGTTCTCTAATAAACCACCAAGCACAGTTCTTTACTACATTTATATATTAACCTACATGCCACACATAAACTGGAAGAAGTCATTTAGAATGGCCTATTATTTGGGAAATAATATATTGATTTTTTTTTTACCAGCTTTTTTACCCTGGAACATCTTACATGAGTGCAAATAAATAAGCCTTTCAGGTCTTTAGAGAAGTGTTTTAATCTGATTGTGATTTTGGATAGAAAACAGGTAAGAGCTTACTGGATATTAACCTAGAGTTGTTGTCCAGAGTCAGAAGAAAACAGTCCGTAGATATTGTGTCACTCACAATTAAAACCAGAAATGTGTGCGAAACTCTTTTAAGGAGCTTGTATGCCATTTGCTGTCACATTTCTATAACATAAGCAGTACACCAGGTGGTACTAAAGCTGTTTCACCTGCCTTTCATTTATTGTCACTTTACAGATGTTGACTCCTATGCACCTTTTCTTTTATTTTTTTCTTCCTATTTCAAATGCCCCATCACAAAAAGTTACCATTACACTATATCCTAAGTGGCTCTTAACCAAAGGAGATTCGGGCCTCTAGGGAATGCCTAACATCTGGAAGCTTTTTTAGTTGTCACAACTGAAGATGAGATGAAGATGGCATCAAACAAGTGGAAGGCAGGGATATTGCTGAACACCCTACAACCCCCAGAACAGAACTCCAGAGCAAAGCATCATCCAGTCCAAATCCCAGCTGTACTGAGTTTCAGAAACCTGACCTATGAGGATGTTTATATGTGCAGTGTATAAGAATTTGGGGCAAGCAGTCTAGCTTCTACCAAGCTGTCAAAGGAGAGATGACCCAAAAACTTAAAACACTGGTTTTCCTGGATATATCATCTTGGTCATGGTTTTTTAAAGAACGACATACTGACTCAACTTCACAACAGAAGTCGCCTCTAGTGAAGACCTATCTTTGCCAGCCAGATTTCACTGTCCCTTTCACTGTCATTCAAGACTAGACAAACATAGGCTGGCCATTTAGCTCAGTGGTTCCCACAGCCTGCCTCATAAGTGCAAGGTCCTGAGTTCGAGCCCAATACAAAAAAAACAAAACAAAACTAGACTAGACAAACAGCTTTTTGGGAGTTTTCAACTGTAGGTCTTCCAAGGATCTCATCCTCTACCAGCTGGATTAACATAATCATGGTTATGGTGACTATTAATAATTAAGCTTCAACTTTGTAATGTGTCAATTTAAAAAACTTTTTAGAAACAGTTTATTTGGTCAATATTTATTGGTTCAGTACCTACCATGTTTAACATCCCAGCAGTCACTGGATGTATGGCAAAGAAAACGAGCTTTCAACTTAATACAGGGGAACTATTAATAAAATTTAAACAATTTAAATCGCAATGGAGCAGAGTGAAAAAACGGTGAGAGAAGCGGAAATGAGGATGAAGAGAGGAGTGCTCATCCAGGTAACTGTGTAGCATGCTTCACCCAGTACTGTATTCCACCCAAAAGCAACAGGCAGTTAACTCCTTCATGGCTAGTTTAAACACTTCTGATAACTGTATCCCAGTCCAGCTCATTTGGGATATACTCATATTCAATTACTTGCTGGGCAGAGACAGGAAAACTTGAGTGACTCCAGGCTACTGGCCTACTGAGACCCTCAAATCCAAAAAGCTTTTTTTTTTTTGGTAGTCAATGCTTCTAATTAGAAACCAAAGTGACAGAGGAAAAAGCTGAAGAGCTGAAAAATAAAGCCGACGTCTAAGACACTGTTTGCGACAATTAAACAATTACAGTGTTACAACCGCCATCCCTTTAGGTATCTGAAGTTCGCTACTGTGGCCCGTAAATGGAGAGAGAAAACACTGAACTGCTTGCTTCCTGAGGATATTAGCAAGTCAATATGTTGTTCGCAGTCAGTCTACACCGGCCAGAAGCCTGTACAGCAATTTTTAATGAGCTGTCAGGCTTAATTTAAATCTCGACCTCGCTGAAAACCCCGGGTTAGTAAAATAACCGGGGTTCCGTGGGGTGATGTAAAGGGCAGCTGGTAAGAGAACAAAGCGGGCGCGGCCCGGCCTCCACCCGGCCGGCGACCGCGGGGGGGGGCACTGACCCCTGCCGCCCGGCCTAGGGTGGGCTCGGAGACCGGAGATGCGTGGGGCGGGCCGCGGGGGTAGAGGTCGGGACTGGGCGAGTGAGCCGACGACTGTGGAGCAATCGTGACAGAAGTCTCGCGGCTGCAAGAGCCGGGACAACCGGCGCCCGGACCGCACGTGGGAGAGGAACGGTTCCAAGGGCAGAGGGTTGCGTCCCCTACACCGCGTCCCGGAGCGCCTGCCCTCGCGTTTATGTAATGGGGCCGCGCTCCCATTGGCACACGCGACCGGAAGGGCACAGGCGCGCGAGCGGCGTGGGCGGGGATCGCTGCAGGAAGGTGAGAGGGCGGGGCTGCGCGGCGCAGGCGGCGCTGGGGCGGCTGGGAACGCGGCGCGGCGTGCGCGCGCACGAGGCGGGGCGGCCGGCCTGGGGCTCAGGCGGCGGCGGGCGCGCGCGGCGGTGGCAGCGGGTGTGCGAGGCGCGCGCTGTTGTGTTCCCGGCGGTCCCTTTCCCCCCTCGGCGGGTGGAGGAGGCCGAAGCGGTGCTGGGCGCCGATCTCTGCCTTCCTCCGTGACCTCCCGGCCCTGTCGCGCTGCGCGGCCTCCGCGACGCAAGACTGTCCCGGCCCGGGTGAGCAGCGGGCGGCGCGGGCCCCGGAAGCGGGGAGGGAAGGAGGGCAGCGCGGGCGCCCGGCGGCTCCCGCGGGTGGTGACCGGGGCCGGGTCTGGCAGGCAGGGAACGCGGCGTGGCCCTTGGTGGCAGTAGCCGGCGGGCTCCGGGGCGGGACGTGCGCCGGCTGCGGCCGGGTGGTGGTCGTGGTCGTGGTTGATCGTGGTCGTGGCGGCGTTGGGCGAAAGGGGGCCCCGCGGGTGCTTCCGCCAGCCTTGCCCGCAGAAGTTGCGGTCCAGATGTGGGGCCCCGTCTGGGCCTCGTCCTTTCAGAGGGTCGGGGAGAGCAGCTTCCTTCCTGGATCCCAAATCCTTGTTTGGGTTGTAGAAAGGGTCTGGAGGGCAGGGTTTGCTTGTGGCCCGCACCGCTGAGAGGTCCTCGATTTAGAGCTCATTCGTTCTGCTGCTTCCCTCTCTGTAGCCCCCTCGGAAAGCCACACTGAGAGTCTTATTAACAATCAGCTTCTAGGTATTTGTAGACGACTCTTGCCCGTCACTTTGTTGCTTTTAGTCAAGGAGCGGTTATGTATAAGATTTTGTAGAAAATTCGGTTGGCTTCAGAGCAGGTCCTAAGTTGAGCTGTCCAAAGCAGGTGGTTTGTTTTGCATTTCTGCTTTCAGAAAGGAAATCAGTGCAATGTGCTGTCAGAAGTTGGGGGCCCACCTCACGCTGTTAGCCTAGTTCAGTTGCCTTCAGCTGATGCGGTTTTCTGTCTTAAAAATAAGAACAAATGACTGCTGCCTTATATTTATTAAAGCTTTTATGGCTTTCTTGTGTTGTTTGAAGACAATGGCAAACGGGCTCAACCTATCGTGCATTTTGCGACTTTACGTTGTACAAAGCATTTCGTGAAAATCTTACCACACTAGTTGAGAAGTTCTAGATAGCAAGGACGCTTATGGAATTAGGGGTCTGCCATTGTATACGGGTTTTCATACGTACAATTAAGATTTTAATGTAAAAAACTGTTACTGCTTAATAATTTATTAGCTAAAGCAACGCACTAACGTAAATACAACGTAATAAAATACATTATGTGGCAGTTGAAATGCATCAGAGTACTCAAGTATTCTAACAGAAGGACCTGATACTAAGAGACATTGAGTCATTAAGAATGTTACAAAACATTTGTATACATTAAGATAGAACGCCTGACTACCATCATACAGATATATTTAAATGTACTTTTTGAAAAATGCCGTTTGGCTTAGAATTAATAAGGTAGGTTTAAAAAAATAAAAGTAGGAGCTTAGTTTTAAGGACTACCACAGATGGTAATGTTTACCATCGTTAGGTAGGAATGGTGTTCTTATATTACACTAGCGTACTAAACAGTTCTGTGATTGGTAAGGTATTGACTTTCTAGAGAGGCATTGATCCTCTTCTATTTTTAAACTTTTCAGTTAATTGTTTAATGTCAGTGAGAACTTGCCCAATGATTGTACTAATTTACTCAGTAGTTTCCTTTGTTGTTGGGAGGAGAGCTCAGTTTCTGTGAAATACTTTGACCTTACACCCATTATCTATTTAGTAGTCCAGTAAGAAAATCCCAGTAGGCATTCTTTCCCAGTTGAAGTTCATGTCCAGCATTGTATGTTCACGTCCTGCAATGCTTTAAAAATTTCAAATTTAATTACAGTCCCACTCAAATTTATACATAGGAATTCTACTGAGGATCCAGTTCGAATGTATAGAGAGTACTTTATGAACAGGTTTACCTTGTATTGTCTAATAGAGGTCCTTAATTTTAATGGGAACATAAAAGTAACTTTTCAGTGACTTAATTATTTTTAACTCATTCATGTTGGCTTCAGATAATGTGTAGTAAAAACTTCTACCTTTCAACTGGGTAAAGATATCCTTATGCTAGGTTTTTTTTTTCTCTCAACTGGGGACAGATTCAATCTTATAATTTGTGAAGCAGTCCAGAAAAGATCAACTTTTTAGGAAAACTTAAAATAGCACAATGGTTTCATAGAACCTAAGTATTTAAGAAAATAACTCCTCCCTATAATCTCCTTTTAGAAAGATGAGTTGACAGCTTGTTTCTCTTAAAATTGAATGTGTCCAAAGTGACAAGAGAACACTAGAAGGGAAAAGTACCTTTGCAAGGTAACCAAATAAGTGATGGGGAGACTCGTTTGTGTTGTTTTTTTTAATTTGATGATACAGATAGTAAACAATCAGGTATGTAGCTCAGTGACCCTTTTTAGCACATTAGTGGGGAATGAACCCAGGGCCTTCACACTAAGCTACATCCCCAGACCTTTTATTTTTTAAATTTTGACTTGATCGCGCTAAATTGCTTAGGTTGGAGTTGAACTTGTGATCCTTCTGTCTCAGCCTCCCAGGGTGTTAGAATTATAGGTGAGTGCCACCATGCCCTACTAGCTCAATGAATTTTTACAAATAAACACATCTGCCTACCTGTTACCTCATTCAATATTCAGAACATTTTCAGCACCCCAGAGATCCACTTCATGTCCTCTCTTTCCAGCTGTTCCTGAGGAGACTTTCACCATATTGCTTTGCTCTGGTTTTTTTCTTTTTTCCTTTTTTTCTTTTTGATTAGCTCTTGGGGATTTAACCGAAAGCCTTAGCAGCATGCTAGGCAAGATGCGCTACCTCTGAGCCACACCCCCAGCCCTGCTTTGCCTATTTTAAATTGTATACAATGTATATTATTTTTGGAGCAGATACTGTTGAACATTTTTGTACATGTCTTAATGTACTTATACTTCTGTTACGTTTCTGTGGAATATGTGCAGAGAGAAATTGTAGGTTATGGAGTAGACAAGTTACTAACCAAGTTTCCACAGTGGTTGTACAGTTTATTTAGTGACATTGTATGTAAGGATTCGAAAACATGTATATTTCGATTGTACAACATTTCTGTAAAATTTGATGCTTCAAAGCTGAGAATGTTGCGATGCTTAGATTAGTGTATATTAGAATAAATAATGCTTCATCTTCTGTTTTTAGACATGGCTCGTGGGCAGCAGAAGATTCAGTCTCAGCAGAAAAATGCCAAAAAGCAGGCTGGGCAAAAGAAGAAACAAGGGCATGACCAAAAGGCTGCTGCCAAAGCTGCCTTAATATACACCTGCACTGTCTGTAGGGTAAGGAGACTTGAAAGATGCAGGGTCCTCATGGGTAATTCTTTCACTGTGAATTGGCTTGTACAGGTTAAAATTTTATAACCGTGGAAAAATAGTTGGTTTACTTGACAGGGTTTTGAGGAGGGGGTTTGGTGATGCTGGGAATCAAACCCGTGGTCTTGCACCTGTTGGGCAAGTGTTCTACCACTGAGCTACACCTGCAGCCCCTGAAATAGAGCCGACCGCTGCCTACTTTAGGAATCCATCTTCATTCACACATGGAACGAATACTTCTTGCATGGCTTCTGTGGCCAGGCACATTTCTCTAGGTGCTGGGGGAAAGATGTGAACAGAACAAAGTCCCTTTCCTTATAGAGAATAAAGACGTCCTCACAAGGACGTGTAATGCACTTTGAACTCTGTAAGGAAGTCAGATTTATAATCTTACTTTAAATCTACCTAAGCTTTGCACTATGCTGTGGAATATATCTATGGTTATATAATGCCCACCCTTCACTAAATCTGGAGTTAGGACATATGTAAAACCACAAAGAGTATTTCCATGCTGGAGGCTCTTAGAATTCAGTCTTATGGATTGAAAGACTGTGGGCTTGCCATGTGCCAGGCACCAATCCAGATGTTTTGCATATATCCACCTGTTTTACTTGCACAACAGCCTTATGAGTTATACTTTTATTTTCATTGTACAAAAGAGTAAACTCAGTTATGGGAATTAAATAACCTGCACATGTCATCCAGCTAGTAAAGTAGAAGAGCTGGGATCTGAACCCAGGGAGTGCAGCCCCAGAGTCCACCCACCAGGCTACTGTTCCACACTTCCTTTCAAAGAAGTCTTTCTCAAATCCCCAGTCAAACTTTTTTGTGTGTTTGTGATGGCTCACTACTGCCCTTGATGTTATGAGTGGAACACATAGTGGAATTGGTCCATACCTTTACGCACGTACAGTTTTCAAGCCCCTATACCTGAGTAGGGTTGATGGTACGAATGAGAAGGGATCTTGATAAGACATGATTCCTGGGCTGAAGTTATCTCCAAGGAAATAGAAGTTCCTAACTATACAAAAGTTCTCACTGAGAGAGAAAGAATCTGTTACATGCACTATCTTACTCACATTGAGCTTTGATACACTAAAAATAATGAAACTGAGCAGCTTCTGATTCTGTTTGGAGAGGGAGTGAAAATAAATTTCACTAGGTTAGTGATGAAGAAATAGTTTGACCTAAAAGTATAAGAGTAGTTCACATTTAAAAATTTAAAACCAAAACCTTTCAATTCATGTTTTGTGTACTTGAACCTGTTGAAAAATAAAGTAACTTTTTCTGAGGGAAGCCATTACTGTATACAGTAATGTGTTATCTGGGAGCTGAAGTACCTAATACTGTGTTAGACCATGGCTCTTGGACAAAGTAAACTCTGGGTTTTAGTTTACTTCTTGTGTAAAATGAGGACAATAGTAGGAGCTAAGGATAACTGAAGGTTCTATGAGAATTAAGGTAACAAGCTTAACTAAATGAAAGTTCAGCAAATGTTCCTGTTATTTGCTGTTAATGAGACAAAATTTTTTTTTTGGTACCGGGGATTGAACTCAGGACCTTGTGCTTGCACGGTAGACACGGTGCCACTGAGCTAAATCCCCGGCATGAGATAAGATATTATATGACCCAACCCCTTTATATATGAAATGGGAGAGTATTAGGAATTTGTTTCATAAGGTCCCTCTTCATATGCCAGCAACAGTTGTATGAGCCTAAAGCATTTTATGCTAATTGTCAAGAACAAATTTATTTTATATATAAATTCTGACTCTTTTTTTGCACAATTTTTAGACACAAATGCCAGACCCTAAGACCTTCAAGCAGCACTTTGAGAGCAAGCACCCTAAGACCCCACTTCCTCCAGAATTGGCTGATGTGCAAGCATAAGGTTGTTTACAGGTAGTTGACTTTTTTCCAATTGGTTTGTTAATGTCAGGTTTGAATACAAGAACAAAACTGTCCTCTGTAACTGAAAATAATTTCTGCATTCTGATATTTTATTGCTTTGCCTTTTGAAGTTGTTTATCTTCATTAATAGAGTTCAACTGTTCTAACTTACAGTTTACTGAAACATTTGTTAAAAGTCTTTTGTCCCAGACCATTTCCTTTCCATGCCTTTGAAGAAACCAAGTTTTTACCAAAAACTGGGAAAATGAGTGGATACTGACCAATTTTGGCCCAAAAATGAAATAGAGTTACCAGCTGCAAGAAAATAGTTATTTCAGATGCATTTTAGGATCTACCAAAAGCACTGTAGACCAATTTTCTGAACACAGTTTTATAGTGTTCTACTTATAGCAAAGCTTATAAGTATTAAAATACAGAGCAAAATGTACATATACAGAAACTGATTTGATAGTCTTTCCTCTTAGATACTTGAATTGCATATAATAGCTGCATTTGTAATAATTACCTTCATTGAAGTGTTTCCTTGTGTTTTATAGGTGAATTCATGACACCTTTGGCTCTTCTACTGTCTCAGACCTTAGGTAACAAACCTGCAGCTGCTTTTCTAACAAAACTGTTGATCAGCAAAAATAAAGGGGCTACAGAAACACTCATTTTTATGCTGTTCCCTTTTGGGCTTCATGCAAAGACAATTCTGTGTAAATGTACAGTTGACTCTGATTTGGAAATTGAAAATCAGTCCATCCTTGTTATAAAAAATTTTTTTACAATTGTAATTATATTGATGTTCATATTGTGTAAAATAACTCATTTAATAAAGTAGTACTTTGATTTTATGACATCACAGGATAAATGATTATAGAAATTCTGTTCTAACTTTCCTTATTATTTGCCTTATAAAGGTCTAATGAATTCATCAGCTAGAATTGCAGGTGCAATTCCTATCTCCCCTTTTCAGCTCAGTGGCAGGTTTGTTAAACCTAGGACAGACTCATTCATCAAAATTGCACACCACTTTATTGGCAGCTGATCTGGGTGAAGAATGACATCTGCTGCCTTAATACATTGCAATTATGTGTCATTGCCCCCCTCTGATTATCTCCTATGTTTGAAGTTGGAATATTTAAACTTATCGTTTGAACTGGGTCTATCCTAGAGATAACTGATAAATTCATAAAAGGTATTGGATTGTCTATGAGCTCTTCTGAAAGATTAGGTTCTGAAGTATATACTGTTCAAAATAATCTTAGGCCTATTTAACAAAATATGATAGAATAAATGTGAACTGGTAAACATCGATCTTTTATAAATTATATTAAATTCTTTGAATATTGTTCAGGTTCTTTAATTTGAAATTGAAACATTTAAAGGAGTTTTTGGAAGTTATTATTTTGCTAATTTTATGAATGGGTTTTTCCATTAACAGGAAGATCGTAATGACTTGTGGCTGGTTATTTCCCAGAATACTTTCCTTTTCTAAGTGAATTGTTGGTTTTAGGAATTTACTTTGTGCTGGTTCCTAAAATCAAAGACTGTATACAGTATGACTTCCATCTGAGCTATAAAAATATTATAGGCCAATCAGTGTTCACATTCTTTTGGATCTAAGGATGGGGAAGTAGTTTTCTTCAGCTGAACAAGGTAAATTCCACCCAGTTAAAGACTAATTTCAGCATTCTTCTAATTTAGTTTTGTCAACCGTTGTACAAGTGAAACTGCTGTAACTCATTTAAATTTTAAAATTAGCATGATAAGAAGAACATTGAAATATTTACTGATAATTGCTTAGAGCCGCCTGTCTAATCCTGTAGATTACAAAATGCATTCCCTCCTTCTGCTGTAACTCATCACTCCATTTGTTTTGTAACTGCATATTCTACCCACTTTGTCTTCACAGTACCTTTAGAATATTTCCAAGGAAAGTCCTCAGTGCCGATAGTTTCTTACCATTTCATATTCTTAGACCCTTATTTCAAAATAGTCCTTTTGTTTCATTTTTTAATTCCCTGAGTTTCAGACTTAATATCTGTTGTTTTCTAATATGTGGATTACCAGAACATTAGAATTTTACCTAATTTCTTGCTGATGTTACAAAAGTTCTGGTTAAATTACAATTTAAAAGTTTTTGAAAGTGCTTTGAGCATATGTATGTTTATTTTTAGTAACAAATTATTTAAACCCCATTCATGAATTTTGGATTAATTTTTTTCTTTAGTTTTACTGACTGTAATTCACAATAAGAGCCTTTTGTTCTTGTTTTTAACCTTTTTATAAGCAGCTGAAAACACCATATTTGATTCTCTTAACTCAGTGATAGGGAAATAGTTGGGTCGATCTTACATAAGACATTAATTCTTAATATGGGGATTGTGAGTACAGTCCTTCACTTACTATGTTTGAGTTAAATTTGCTGTAAAGAGAAAATTACAACTCTTAAACATGTTATTTCGGTTAAAGATTCTTTAACAGATCATAGCAGACTTTGTTTTAAAACTGCTGTGGTGTCTTCAAAACCTTGATGCAGTGCACAGCGAGAACTGGTCCACTTGCATTCTGTATCTACCTTAGTTGCCAAAAGGAATGGGGTTAAGAGTAAGCTTGTTTCCATTCCATTCTCATGGATACACATCCCCATGTTTAACTGACACACTGGGGCCTCAGTTGTGTGCTGTAATATCGTATTAAAGGAGATATTAAAGAAAACCAAACTAGTCTAATTTCTTCTATTTTTAAGAGGTTTTTACGTTGCTGCTGCTTTTTTTTTTTTTCCTGAACTTAGAATTGTCTCCAGTATAGCTAGGTAGTCTGAGTGTGGCAAGAGATTTCATGTTTCATTGTTTCCCTTGCATTTTGTGTCTGTTTTGTGTCTGTAGAATACTTAATAAACAGGAAAAGGTCTGTCATTCTGAAACCTTGCTGTATAGAGTTAGAATTAATACGAGTTGTTGTAAGGAGGAAGTAGTTGCCTATTAACATCAAAACAAAAATGGTTAGGCCAGTTAGTTGAGCTGGACGGTTACATCCTTGATGACTTTGACTAAGATTTAAGATAATAATTTTGGATTTATATTAAAGGTATTGCATAGATAATCATAATTCAAACCTGAGATGTAGCAAAAATAAGGACTTACAACATTGCTGTTTTACACCTCATACCTTTTTCATTTTTAATACTAGAGATATACTGTGCTTGTTTTTAAATGTGGCTAATACAGTGGTAAACCACAGTCCAAGCTATAACTGAAATGTTTTTTAAATGTTATTTAAACTCAGTCTGAGTTAATTCATTTGTACTAGTTTAGAGTTTTTTGTTTCTTTGGGTTTTTTTTTTTTAAAGAATGTATAACAGTGAAGATCAACACTAGGGGGTTGTGTTTGCTGTGACTTTACTTTCTGAAGTAGTCCAGGCTATCCTTTAGTGTAAAAGTTTCAGAAGAATTGTAAGGACAGCTTTTAGTGTGCAGATTTAATAAAGCATCTGTGTACTTGCTGAGAAATAGATGTTTTATTAATAAAAGTTTATTATTAACTGTGGGTTACCATATTAAACTGAAAATGTCTTACTTTAAATGTTCTTTTGATAAGCTGTTTACTGGATTACCCTTTTTTTAAGGCAGACATTCTTTAACTTCAGTTTTTTGTCTGTATTATGGCTCCAAGTTTAAAATCTGTACTTGCAGAGACAGGCTTTAGTCGTTCATTCACTCATTCATTCATTTCATGGTACTAGGAATTGAACTGAGGGCCTTCACACTGAGCTGTATCCCCCAGTCCTTTTTAGACCAGGTCTTGCTGAGTTCCCCAGGCTGGGCTGTATGACTTGCAATCTCATTTTGCTTTTTTTTTTAATAAAAACATTTATTTTAATGTTGTGGTAAATCATGCATACACTGTAAAATTTAGTTTTCTTGTGTATATAAACTTGATTTTTTTTCCATCTTAGGAAAAGATAATCTAGTACCAATATATTATTATTTTAGAGATAAAAAGGTGTTATCTGGTTGCCTGCTCCAATATTGCCTACATTTTTATATAACAATTAGCAGAACTAGCACTTATTTAATCTTTACTATAGAGCAAGGATATGAAATTAAGTTTTTGTCATTGAAGTAAAATTAACATGCAATGCAAAGGAAAAAGTTCCCAAAGGGGGAAAAATGGACTTTCAAACTCTGCTTGGAGATGGCTATTCCAAATAATGAGGTCTCTCTTGCAAAAAGTTGTCCAACTCAGATCAAATTTTAAATATTTTAGAAGCCGACTGGCACCATTTTAAAAGTTGATTCTTTTTTGGTTTTTGAGACAAGGTCTCACTATTTAGCCCAAACTAGCCTTGAACTTGCAGTGGTCCTCTTGCATGCACCACCATGCCCAGCAAAAGTTGATTGATTCGTAAGAAAAAGATTATTACCATATAAGATGGTTTGGGTAACTAATGAGTTAGTTATACTTGTAGTTCAAAGTACTTTTTTCCTTTGAAAATAAAGGTAATTCATCCTTTAGATGAATCTAGATGAAACCAAATTTCTGTAACAAAACAATCTGAAGAATTCTGAACATTTGGATCTGGGGATCAGAAGTAATTTTTCCTTTTTTGCTATCTCATTTTCTAATCAAGTTTATGTACACAGAATCATTTCTAATGGCTTAGAGTTTTGTAGACCAAATAACTATCTCACTTTGTCATTACCTTCTGTAAAATTCAGAATAGGACTTGCATTTGGATTCTGTTTTATTAAAATTCCAATTGCCAGGACTTATACCATCAAATCACCAGTAAAATAGTGTAAATGTGTTTCTCAAAATGAGGTGTATAACTAGGGTGACATATATCCTGGTTTGCTAGACAGTCTTGAGTCAAATGGCCATTTAATATTAAGTAAAAAATTAATACTATTTTGAAATACCAAAGTTTTTTTGTGTATATCTTTGTATTGCCTCTTTTTACTCACAGGTCAGCCAATATCAAAGTGTAGGTCACTGTATCAAACAGCCAAGGTGCTTTTTTCAGATGTAGAATTTTTTTTAAAGCTCTTTATAATATCAGAAATTCTTATGCATTACATGTGAACATGTGATACTGGCATATGGTACCGGCAAGGCTGGTTTTTTAACCTTCTGTTTAAAAATTTTTTTCAAAAATCTTACTGTGACTTAAATATCTAGTAAAATAAATTAAATTTTAAAATTTTGAGATATTGTATTCATAATAAGTGTTGTATTGTTTGCTGCCTCCTCATCCTCTCACGTGAAGGACTTACACAGGGGCCAGTTGGACTGAGAGTATTGTGGCTGGCTAAGACTGGCTAATGTCAAAGGGATATCGCCTGGAAAGTAGTCTCTGCTCTAATAGTATTGAACGTTTATTAACAAAGTAGTTTTTTTTTTCCTGGTACTAGGGATCAAACTGGACCTTGTGCTTGTGAGGCAGGCGTGGCGCCACTGAGCTAAATCCCTGGCCTCAGAGCTAGATGTTTGATAGAAGAAGCTTCTGCATATATTTTTGGTCTAAAATTTTCAGTTTTCTTTGGAACAATTTTAGATCTACCAAAACTTTGTAGAAGAGAGTTCCTATGCCCTCACCCGAAGTCAGCTTCCCCTCATCTAGTCGTGTATTGCTGTGGGATGTTTGCCCAAACTGAGAAGCCAGCATTGGTGTGTTTCCGTTACTCCAGTTTTTCTGTTCTGTCCTATTCTGGGACTCAGTACAGGACACCACCTTGGTCTGTTGTTATTGCTCCTTAGTCTCCTCTGGTTTGTGACAGTTTCTCAGTCTTACCCTTGGTTTTCATCACCTTAACAGTTTTGAGGCAAATGAGATAGGCAGGGTTCAGAATGTCCCTCAGTTGGGGTTTCCCTGGGGTGGCAGGTTTCTGGTAGGACCACAGAGGCGCCATGGCTTTATTGTGACATCATCTTGAGTGTACAGTGTTACCACATGATGTCACTTTGTTACCCTTCATCACTTCGTTAAGGTGGAAGCTGACTAATTTTTCCTTTACATGGGAAATCTCTGGGAAGTAAGACCAGCCCTTACTTAAAGGGAGTGGGGACTAAGTCCCACCTATCGGAGGGGGTAGTATGCATGATTAGTTCTATAGAGAATATTTGTTTTCTCCCCATTTATTTGTTCAGTCATTTACGTATATTCATATGGACTCTTTATCCAATGCTGTATTATTTATTTGTCATCCAAATGATTCCAACTTTGACTAATGGGGAGCTCTTTCAGATTGGCCCCTATATCCCTTTGATAACCCTCATCCCTTTTTTTTTTGAGAATTTCCTTTTAATATTTGTGCACTGTACCAAGCTCATCTACGTTTCCTTGCCCTACCCCTAGAATGAGCCATTTCTCCAAGGAGCCCTGATGCCTCTCAGTAAGTAATAATATTTAAAGCCTAGATTTGGATAGTGGGCATGAGTTGTTTTGGGTGTTTTGTTTTGTTTTTAATGTGTGTAATGTTGAACTTTTCTACCCTTGGCTGATACTTGAAGGTCATTGGAAGGCTGTCTTCCGTCCACATCTCTTGGGGATGAGCTCTCCTAAGTCACCAATGTATTTATTGAGAATAATATATGTGAAGTTGTTAAAGCAATTTATCATACAAGGAAACACAAGAACGGCCCCCAGTCTTTAGGTAATACAGATAATGTATGCACTTACTCATCTTAGACTAGATGGGTAAGTGTTCGGTGTCCTATAAATGGTAAATTCTGTAGCAGTATAGACAGAAGGATGGCGTATTAAACAGGCGTGGCTTGTGGGCTGAAGAGGTCAGTCAGTGCCTGGGTGGGTGTCAGCCGGCCGGTGGGGAGAGGAGCAGGAGCAAACAGGAAGGCGCGGTGAGGGTGGCTGAGTGAGCAAAAGCTCAAGCAAGTACATAATGTTTCTTTGAGAGAACGTGCGTGGGCCAGGCAGGGCGGCTGGTGAATGAGAGCCTTTGAGCCCAGGGGTGAGTGGAGCACGAGCCCCATCGCCATCGTCAGAATGGGCCCGGGTCGATGGTAACAGTGCGGGTGCCCTGCAGTACGTCACTCAGATTACTCTGGACACGTGGAAGCCTGTCTGGGTCTGGAAGCAGGGGAGGGATGTGATGCAAGTATTTTAGGAAGACTTATTGTTACCAGGGGAAACTTCAATTTTTTTGAGACAAGGTCTTGCTGTGTAGTTCAGGCTGGGATTTTGCCCTGCTGTAATGCAGTGGTGCCTCTGGGCCCCAGGAGCGGGGTGGAGGGGTGTTTGTCTCTGCACTAAATAATCCCAGGCGCATTGTGTCTGAACATGGTACTGTCATCTGTTTCATTATCAAGTAATAACATCTGGAAATACATTTCGCTATATATAGAAATGTGGAGGATATAGTAAAGTTAAATTTCAAAAATTCACAAGTACAAAACCTTGGTGAATAATATCTTATTCTCACACATGTACATACACAGGTGCACATGCATGTTTTTAAAGCTGATACTAACTTACAAGTTTTGTAGTCACTGTATATCATATCTTTGTACTTAGCTGTTTAACACAAGTGGAGCTGGTTATCAACTTTGTGTAAGTGGAATTTTTCGGCCACGTTGTGATCCAATAGTAGATGTGTTATTGTTTTGTTTTGTTTTGTTTTCAGCCATTCCTCTAGGACTTTCAGGTTTTCCCTAATTTATCTAGAATGCTTCATTTCCACATTTAGAATTAGATATCA